TTTATGGTGGTTTGAATGAGAAATGTACCCATAGTATTTGAATGTTTGGTCCCAGTTGTTGGAACTGTTTGGGGAGATGGTCTAATCTTGTTGGAAGAAGTTCATAACTGGGGACAGGCTTTGGCAGTTCATAGCCTCATCCCACATAGTTCACTCTCTCTGCTTTGTGTTTGAAAATGTGATTTCTTGGCTCCTTGGCGTGGCCCTCTGTTGCCATGCCTCTCCCTCCCTCTACTCCACCCTGTCCCTTCATTATGAACTCTCCTTTTGGAAATGTTAGCCAAAATAAACTCTTCCATGTAGTCACTTTTGGTTATGGTGTTTTTATCACAGCAACTGGAAAGTCATGAATACAAGTTATGTCTGAAATAACACACAGACTTGGTGACTTAAACAATGGGTCCTTATTTTATTACAGTTCTGGAAGCTTACAAGTTCAGGTGCATTGTGGGTCAAATTTGGCTTCCTGAGAGGGTTCTACTCCACTGAGGATGGGCCACCTTACTGTTTCTCACAGCAAGAGAGCATTTTGGTATTTCTTCCTCTTCCTACGGGATTTGAGACCCACCCTCATGGCTTCCTTGATCTGTTAGGCTTTCTCATTGGAAGCTAGGCCTTCAACTTAATAAAAAATTTAAGGGGAATACATTTTAGTGTGGAAAACTAGAAATGGGCAAGAACATTAATCTAAAATGACATTTTACTGCATTGTGAGAATTGGCTGAGGAGACCAAGTCCATCGAGGAACTGGGGCATGATTGGTGCTGTGCATGTTCCCTTCATCTTCTCATCCTATCATCAACAGATGAAATAAAAAAGGAAGATGAGAAGCAGAACTAAAAATGCTCGGTGGTAGTGTACACCTTTAATCCTAGCACTTGGGAGGCAAAGTAAGGTAGATCTCTGAGTTCAAGACCACCCTGGTCTACAGAGTAAGTTCCACGACAGAATATTGAGAACTCAGTGTCAGGAGTTGCCTTGGAGTGTAGGGAAACCTTTCAGAATGGTTTCTACAGGGTAAACT